AGCCAGGGGGGGGGTGGGGGCAGGAGCGGCCACGCGGGCGGTTGCCGCGGCAGTCTGGCCTGGAGGAGCCCGGGCCCGTTTCTCCGCCCCCTCCCCGCCCAGGCTCAGTAAACAGGGCCGGAGCGCCGGGCCTGCCGGGCAGGGCTGAGTGTCTGAGGACAAGGCGCTGGCTTTGCTAATCACATCACAAGACCTTGAGCCAGGGCCAAAGGCGCGGAGTGGCGCGGGGCGTCCCGGGCGGGGGGGCCAACTCGGAGGACGGGAGGGAGGGAGGGACGGGAGAGCCGTGCAGGCATGGAGGCGACTTCCCGCCGCGCCTTTCGTTTGCTGGTCTGCTAGGCCTTGCCCAGCCTTCCCGGAGCTTTGGATACCGCTGCCGGCCGAGGCTCCCCGCCGGACGCATCCTTGGCCTGTCGCGTTCTCTAGGCCACTTTCTCTCCCAGTGTGGTTGTGTTGGTGGTGGGTTACGTCCCGCTTTTGCTCGTCGCGGGTTGTAGGAACCGACCGAGGCAGGCCTCGCAGCCCAGGTGGGTCACCGATGACGCTGATGGTGGGCGCGCCCCCTCTTGTCTCTCCCTCTCGGCAGCCCCACGCCCCAACAGCTCTCCCTGGGACGGGTGCTCTGCTGACCGGCGCCCCGCCCCCGTCCGGGGCAGACACCCCCACCTAGTGCCTAGTGAGACTAAAGCCGCTGCCTGCCCCACTAGGCTGGTCAGACTTCAAATCTCCGTCTATACCGGCTTCCAAACAACTGGAGATCTGAGCCCAGATTTCACCCACCTGCTCTCCGGGCCGCAATTGGGCTTATGCTAGATCTCGATCCCTCCCAGGGAAGGAAACGACATGACCCACACCCACTTCCCCAGTTGATCTTCCTTCTTGCCCTCTCCTGACGCTCATTTCTGTTGGTGCTCGTTTCTTCTTGGCTACCCTGGAATGGAATGAGCTAGGTCTGCCAGGAAATGGATTCCTGTGGTCCATCCCACGAGTCCCACTGCTACACTCTCCATCACTGCCCAGGGAGCGGGAGTCCAGCCCAGGCAGAGAGGGAGTTGAGGATCAGAACATAAGGCTAGAGTTCAGGCCCTGACCCTTGCAAGTCACGTGGTCTTAGGCAAATCACATAATCTCTTTGGTACTTGGATTTCCTTACTTGTAAAACCAAGAATTTTTTCTTTACTCATCTTTCACTTTTGTCAAGGTGCAAATGAGACAACCATGGACGCGTTTAAAAGAGAAGCAAGTCAGGTCATCTCATACTAAAAGAAATTGACAAAGCTTGAGCACAGGGAAAGCCAGGCCCCAGGGCTAGGCTGGCTGGCTGGAGGTCCGCAGAATGGTGAGTGCAGAGCCTTGCGGGCAGCTACAGCTCAGACCTTTGGCAAAAGCCAAAGGCAGTTGGTGACCTCAGAAGAGGTGGCTGCTTCACTCCTGCCATCCCCCCTGCACTGGCTCCTGCACAGGGCTGGGCACCTGTGGCTGGCCTGGTTTAGTGCTTTGTTGGAATGGCCTTCACATGAGGGCTTGAGGGTGGCCCTGAGACTCGCAGAATGCATCAGACATTTCCCAAGTCACTGCTGTCAGGTCAGTAACAAGATTTCAGATTCAAAACCGGTGGAAGCAACTGCCGCCGTCCCCCCCCCCCCCACCGGCCCAGGGGACGCCAAGACAAACACGC